CCCTAACAACAGTGCAAGGCATGCAGACTTCCACCCACCCCAGGCAGAAAATGTGCAGCTTCCCCTTGGCCTGCCACAGAGGAGACAGTAAGTGTCTGTGTGATGAGATCCAGAGGCTGTGTCATGAAACCCATTTGGATAAAAAAGAAAATGTAAAAAATGTATCTTCTAAAGAGAAGGAGATTGGTGTGACAGCTCCTGAATGAATTGGCTCCCAGGCTTTACAGAGTTATCGACTCAACTCTCTGCTTCATATTTGGTGTTTTTTCCATCTGTAGGAACTTGTGCTGAACACTAGCATTGAGGATAAACTTTGTCCACTTTGTGATGAAGAAAACTATTGTCACCAAAGGAGGCTGGCAGGGGAAGGGAGACTAAAACTGGGTTTACACCCCACTCTGCACATTCCTGTTTATTCCAGGATCAATAATGGGCAAATGGAGCAGAAAATCATCAGCTGTTCTGAGCTCATCTATCACTTGCACAGCTGCTTAAAGAAGAGAATGGGCTTGAGGAAACCAAAGAGATTTTAGAGAAGAGCAGCAAAACTTTACCAGAACTAAACAGGTTTAAATAAGCAATGACTATGCAACACAAATGAGCTCAACACTGCGAGCACAAAACAAGGGAAGGAAACACTGGGCTAAGACACTGAGCACTTGGGGAGAAATGGCACAGATTCAATGGTTTGTCTAAATACAGAGCTGTACTGGCTTCATTCAGATAGGATTGAAAAGGCTTTAGGTAAATTTAGGTCAGAAGGCTAAGTAGACACTCTTCTTTTGCTGTAAACCATGTTTGGAGTTAAAATACTTGGGGGAAAAAAATTAAGCTAACCAGCAAAAAATGGATTTCTAAGCCTAAGGAAGAACAATTGCAGAAGGTTTTGCTTGCTAAATGAAATGAGAACAAAGGCATGAATAGAGAGGGACAAGGAAGGGCAGAGCCATGAAAACAGGGGTGAAAAATTATCAAAGGAGGAGTCTTGTGTTGTCTCCAGAGCTGATAGATTGAATTCTCTTTTCTAGCACCATTGTCCCTGCTCTTGAGGTTTTTGGAGTGAAACTGGAGAACGTTTTTAACTTTTCATTGTCTGGCTTTCTTGTGCAAGCCCCAAAGGAGATGGGGACAGCTCATTAGATCTCTGAAAATACACCAACAGCTAAATACCAGCAAACATGTCATTTCGTTCTGCTGCTTCAGGGTCATGTGCTGGCTCTGCAAACAGAGCTGCAGCTCGAGCAGAGTCAGTGTGAGTTTGACCCAAAGTCTTCCAGCTTGCCAGTGGGCAGAGGGAAATCCAGCAGTAACAATAAGCTGGCAGCCTTCCAGTTTGCCTTGTAAACCAATTAGATGACTCTTTTCTGGTTGTTTTGGTGCCCCAGAGAATTACTCTTTCCTTTTCATTCTTACACCTGACCTAAGCCCTGTGTACCTGGATTCAAACATTTCTCTCTGAGCTATTCCATGAAACCAAGACCTGAATTTTCTCCTTATTCCTACGTTTCAATTGTAACTGTGGGATCCAAACAACTCTGAGGTTAAGCAATCCTGCATCAAGAATTCTGATGTTAAGATTTAAGCCATCCCTGCTGCAACTGCAGGTAATTCCTTTCTTTCTCAGTGGGGATCCTCTCCTGCCAGTGCTGGTGTGCAAGTACGTGCCTGTGTCCTGCCTCTCTACAAACACAGCAACTTCACTGACATGATCTGGCCAAGATCATCAAACAAGCCATGGGAGAAGTTCAAAACAGAGCCTGGTTTTCCCATCTCCCAGGTCACCCCTGGAAACGTGTGAGAAATGCAAAGGACAGAAACACTGCAGAAAATAACCATTTACAAACAGCTTCACCAACTCATGAGCTCATCTGGGTATTACTATAACTGTGCCCAGTGCCAGCATGTCAGTAACACCTCACCCAGTCTAACACAGCCTTGTCATTTAAGTAACTTTTCCCAGCTTTTAATTACATTCTCCTGTAATGCAACTGGCTGTGCTTTGTGCATACCTTGAGGGAGGTGGCACGGTCTGGTAGTTGTTGTAAAGAGTTTGGAATTAATTACAAAGGACACAGGTTTTGAGTTTCCTCTCGAGTACTTGCTCAGCTGTGTGACCTTGGGGCAAATCACTCGGCTTGCTTTGTGCCCAGGGAAATCCAGCTGCAAACCATCTTGAAAACCAGATGGTGCACACGATGGAAATTGCTCAGGAGGATGAAGAGGGATGGAAAAAAAAAGTGAATTCTACAGCTCGTTACTGCAGCTATTGCTTCCTGTGGGGTTCATCTGGACTTCACCAATAGAACCAAGAAGAGAATTTGCTGTGATACCCCAAAAAACACCCTCCTCTCAAATCTTTTTTTCCTTTTCTCTCTTGACTTTATGTCAAGCCTCTCCCTAGAGGCTTAATTTTAAACCTTTGGTAGAATACATGTTTTTTTTTTCCCTGGCAGCCTCAAGATTCTAATTCAGGATCAAGTTCTACAATGACTAATCTTTGATATTTTACATGATTATTTTTAGGTGCTTAATTCTATAGCTCTCTCTTCTCCCTGCTTTTCATGCTACCATTCTTTCCTCAGCCTTGCTTAGCTTCCATGGCACAGTGGTGTCTTCTGGTGCCCAAGTACTGCACTGCTAATAAAAATGCTGAGCTCTATTGTCTTCTGTAGAGGATATGTCCTGGCTTAAAACCAGTATCAAAGCTATTACAGGATTTGTCTTGCTGGTCAAAGAACAAAAGAAATACTATACTTGAATTTCTGTGGCAGAAGAAATGTCTGCCACATGTTAGCATTTAGGAGAGGACTTAAATGTTTTGATATTTTTTGGCCTTAGTTAAAATATAGAATTTTTTTTTCCCCACTAGCTCTGCAGGAATGTGGGAATACTTGCTTATGTAAGTACAAATATAGGGATACTTGTCTACACTTCCAAAGCAGGGTGTATTTGGTTAAAAGAAGGAAAAAAAATCTGTATTTTTTGTCTAGTATAATCAAAGAGGATTTGAAGATATAAAGGAGTACATTTGTACACTGCTCAGGAAAGACCTTGCACGTTTTTATTAATCACTCTTGAAAATAAAACATTGACAGGTTTGAAAAATCAACTTTCTTCCCAAATCAGAAAGGATGAGAGCTGAAAGAGCAAGTTACAGACACACTGAACAAGCTAGAGCACCCAAGTCTCTTTGGCTCTTATGGAAAAAAAATGCTGTTAGGAAATTGCCTTCAGCAAATTTAGCCCTTGTTATACAGGGCTGGGATAGTAAAATATTTAATGGCTATAAAAAATTGGTGATCATATTTCCAATGTAAACAATTCTCAGTTTGTGCCTCTCACAAGCTGTTGGCTCTGCTTCATGTTGTTGAATCGTTAGATTTGGTATCGGAGCTATGAAATTTCAATATTTTGAAATTCTTTTTTCCCCTCCCTACTACCACTTGAAATTAAATTTCTAAAAAGGTGTAGTTCTTCTGTGGGAATAAAAGAATTTTAAATTAATCAGCACCCATGACATTTCCAAAACAATAAATAAACCAGCAAGTGAGCTGTAGATAGAGCAGATCCAGGTGATAAGGAAAATCATGACTAGAGTTGCCTAATACAGGGACAAGAAAAACATAAACTTCATTTTCAAGCCCTGAGCTATGTAAATACTCCTCAGACTCCATTTACATTTTAGCTCAGCATTGCCAGCTGAAACTGCAGCTACATCCATCTATATTTTATAGCCTTTTTTTAGCTATCCAGCTATATTTTTCTATATCCACCAAACTAGGGTTTTCCCTTCTGTGTTCCTGGGTGTCAACCACTGAGCTTTCCCTCATTCCATGGTCCTGTGAATTGCTCATACTGCCTGTTCAAAGAAAAGATTGTTGCCTCATCACTTTAGCATGGTCCATCCCAGGTTCCTTCTGCTCTCAGCAAGAACAGAGTGATGGATGCTTCTCTTTGTTGTTACTGCCACCAGAAAACGGGTCAGCTTGCAGGATGCAGCTTCCAATCCCTTTGTGTCTGCTGAGACACAAAGCCAGTGAAATATGTATTGATAGACTGGTGATTTGGGTGTGTTGTGAGGTAAGGAGCAAAGGCTGGTCCTAAAACAATAAAATCATGAATTCCCAAAGCCAGGAACTTCAGGCATCCTAAAACCTTTCCTTCTTAAAAAAAAACCCAAATCTAGTGAATGAAATATCTTTTATGTGAAGGTTTTGATTCTTTAAAACAGCATTCTGACCTTGAAATGTAGCTAGTTTGGGAAAAAATACAAAAGTTAAATAGTTTAAAGTCATCTCCTTGCCCTTGATCAATACAGGCTATTTTTTTTTTTCAGGTTTTAAACCATGCTGCTTTATTTGTCCCTCTCTCGTTGCCAGATAGGAAACCTACAGAAAAATTTGAGAAACTGATTACAAACTGCTGCTAGAAGTAGTTATTTTGCCCACATAATCACTTTCAGAAACAGTCAGTATGTGTTTAAATAATCTGAAAAAAATAGTGATTTTACAAAAACCTCCCTTCAAAGAGACACTGTAAGGCTAAAGCTTGCATATGGACAAATCTTTCCCCAACTTGCTGAGAATACTTTCTAAACTGCAGTTTAAAAGCTTTCAATGACTACTTTTCATTTTTTATGTCCTTCATTTACCTTTTCCCTTTATTTTCCAGCCTTGTGACTAAGTCAATCTGGTAAATTTTGCTCATTCTCCCCATGTCTTGCTGTAGCTTATTGCCTACATGTGGGAATACAACCAGACCCAAGGGCAGCCACTTCTCTTAAAATTAAGATTTAATTATTTTTATTAATAAAACCCCCCATTTTAAGCCTAAACTATTTGACTGTGTCCTTTGGAAAAAATTAAATCATTTGGGCTGGTCTAGTTTTTAAACCACAGTTTCTAAATTCTTGCCCCGATGAGCAAATGCTGTAAGTTCCTTTGCTGAATGGCCACGGGGTTTTTAAGGGAGTTGTAAAGACAAGATGAAAGAGCCTCTCACACAACCTGATGGCTGAATTTCAGCCATGCCCCTTATTACCAGCTGATTTTCTTGCCTTTTTTATTTTCAGGGCTGCGGAAAACGATTTCTGTCGGCTGCCTCAAAGCGTGGTGGCAGATTTCCCTTTGGAACTCAGAGCCTGCTTCAAACGTCTCTTCAAGTCCTGCATGTTTGGAGATTTGGGTCGGACGAGGTGGAGACCTCTTCGTTTCTCCCCGTTGCAGCTCCCAATCATCCTGCTGACCTCCTGGCAAAGCTGCTGGAAGGCTTCGTGCACTCCCTCACAGTTCTCCCGGGCTGAGACTTCGTAGTAAGTACCTCCCAGTTCCGTGGCCAGCTGGAGCCCTTCTTTGGAGGACACCTGTCTGGCACGCAGGAGGTCCCCTTTGTTGGCCATCAGCAGCAGGGGGATGTTGGCATTGGGGTGGATCCTGCGGATGTGCTGGTGGAGGGGGCGGAGGACTCGGTAGCTCTCGTAGTCTGTGATGGAGTAGACAAAAACGAAGCCGTCCGCCCAGTAGATGGAACGGTTGATCTGCTCTTGGCAGCAGATGCTCTCAGTGTCATCCTGCCATCAGAACCAAGAGGGGTGAGATTAGGAAACTGAGACCAGGCAGCAGGCAGAGCAAACAGCCACGCAGCCCTGCCAGCTCCCCAGAGCCTGGCTTTAACGCGGGGCCGTGTCTCAGGGCACGGGCAGAAACCTCTCTGACTGCCAGGGAATGTACCAGGGACAGGAGGGGTACAGTGGTGTGGAGTGGAGAGGGGACAGAGCAAATTGGTTGAAGAGAAGACAACAGCCAAAATAATGATAGTGATTTTTTCCCTCCCTGTATTCTACTGTACTAAAGCAGCGTGACAGAATCCCACGTTTTTATTGTGAATAATGTTGCCATGGGCATGGCAAAATTCAGTAGGCCAGTGAACAGTTGTCCCCCCAAGTGTTTTTTTAGGACTTTTTCCAATTCTGTATCAATGTCTCCATGGACAGGGGTTCTCATAACTCTGTTTGGTGAAGCCTGACAGGTTTTTCTGCTGTTCAGGTCTCCAGACAGTCAAAGTTCCTTCGAAAAGCAACTTGTTACAAATAACCAATTACTGGAGCTGAAAACGAGGTGAAATCTCACCACTTGTTTGCAGAGCTGCAGCAGGTTTGTAGTATTGTTTTGCTGGTCACAGGTTTGTTCAGTCCATCACCACCCCTCCCACAGCCAGCCATAACAACCACCAGTGTTGGGAATATACAGCTGAATATGATACCGTGGGGCTTGAAAAGAGATCAGCTCACTTTTCAAGAGGAAGCTATTTCCAGCTGATCCTCTGCTCTTTGTTACCCATGCTGGTGTGTAACCCAGCCAGACAGGGAGATCCCTGCTGCAGTTATGACCAGTATGCTTGCTTTGTGAGAACTGGCCTTCCCCTCAATATTACAGGCTTTCTGGAACTCTGTGTCTTTCCTACCCAACAAGGCACTAAGGATATTCAGTATTCAGCTTTTGATGAAGGTGGTAATAATTAGAGGGTTTTGTATATTTTAGGGGAAGTTCAACATCATGAATGCAAACCCCAAGTCTTTATTATTATTGCTAAAGTCTGTTCAATAAATCTTCCCCAACTTCAGTAAGACTATTAGAACATATGTTCCATTAGCTATTTATCTACAGAATATAGATCATCTGCCACTCACATTCATTTGAACAGAATTTGTGTGTGCTCAATCCCAAAACAGATTCGTCTGATTTAGACACCTAAATTTGAATTATAAAGCCTAACTTCAGGAAGGGGAGGTGGAAGAGAATGAGTAAAACTGAGTTGTTCTTTTATGGTAGGTAAGACAATTAAAAAAAGGACTATTGACAAGGCTCTTCTGTGAGAAGAAGGAAGCAGGATTTCTGAAGGCTGAGGGTGTAAATTAGGCTTACAACTTTCCACAGGAGTTCTTGCTCACTAACTACCCTTTGTAAATATTTCAGTATTGCCAAGAGAGACACCAACTCGTGGTGCCTGGTAGCTCTTTGCCAGCTCACAGTAACTCTAAATCCTGTTAGCAGTGAAATGGTTTAACAGATGCTCTTATCACGCCTCTCTCCCCCCCCCAAAACCTTCAAACCCCAAAAGCCACCAGAGCTGCACATGGAATGAAGAAGGAGCCTCACTAGCAGCCTTGTTTAAAAGGTTAATGAGTGTGAACTCAAGCCAGGCCAGGGCAGACTGTGGGAAGAAGGGCAATTTGCACTGTTGGTGTCTGGGTTGTATCCAATCTGTAGATAATTAGCCACCCTTCATGTCCTGCTCGCCTCTTTTCACCAGCAAGCTCCTTTCACTGGGAGGAAGAACTAATTGCTCTGGCAAGCGTTTGAAAATGTTTTTGGAGAAGGTGTACATTCAGAGAGCTCTAATGAGCAGAAATTCTCAGTTACTCCAGCTAGGCCCACCCGGCAGTGAGATGGATGGATGGATAATCCCCAACGGAATGCTTTTATTCAGGAAAATCAAAGGCTAATGGGCTGCTTTTAAAATGGAAATCTCTGCTCCAGAATGAATTTTGGAGCACACAATGATTTGCCCTGTGTAGACCAAGCAGCAGTGAATCCCTAACAAAACCAGCTATCTTTTTGCATCTGTTTCTCTCTTAAACATTAACATTTCCATGTGGCCAGAATCCTGAGGGATTCCACAGGACTTCCTCCCAAAACACTGTACTCAGCCTGCAGAGTGCAAGAAACTCCTTTCCTTAAGAATTTTAACAGAAAATCCTACTTACACTCACTCTTAACAAGTCCTGTTCAGGAACAGTCCCTTCAAATTATTTCAGCTACCTCATTTGATGCAAAGAGAGACACAGGCTAAGATAAGTGTGTCTGTGGGAACTGCTGAAACAGTGCAGACCTTTGAATGGGACAAAGAAAAGGAAACTTCTTCCTGACTAAATTAAAGTAATTTCTGACTAAGAAACTTCAGCTGTTGATGTTACTAAATTTGGTGGAGCTCTGGCTACAGTCACAGAACTATAGGGCACAGGCTGAATTAAAACAGGGAAAACAGAAAATAAACATCTATCTGGTGTGAAAGAGGGAATTAAATTCTTTCATCCCTTCCTTTCTCCATGGCATAGAGCAGAGAGGGGATTCCTTTTGTGAAGTGTTTATCAGGCAGACCCAATTGTGCTTAATCACCTCTCACAGCTTCTCTTTGCAGGTCTTCTCTGAGCAAGCTGGTGTAGGACCTTTGTACCAGAAAGTCCCTCTTGAACACAGCAGCTTTTCCTTGCTTTTTAAGTGTCCAGAGCAGATAAGGGCTCCTCTCCTCTGCTCTGTGCACCCCCAGCAGCAGCAGAGAGTGTGGTATATAAAGCTGTCTGGGGCTAGCCTGACAGAGGATGACAGAAGGTGGTGTTCCTATCCATACATAGATTTGGCCAACTCTGAGCTTAGAGTGAGGTTAAGGCCAGCCTAGAAGTTTAGGTTTGAGGGTGACAAGAGGATTCCTAATTTTATCTGGAAATCTCAGTGATAATTCTACAAGAGTTATCACTCTCATGATATTTCCACCATTCATGTACAAATAAATGTCATGTTTCAGGCTGCTTTGCCACTATTTTCATCCTCTTGTTCTGCATGTGGAGCAGGTCTTCAACAAAGGATCTTCAGAAAAAGATCTTGGAAAAAAATAATCTTAGATCCTGCTTGGAAAAAATATTTCTAGAGTAGGTTCCTGGTTGGATATCTTTGCCACTATTTTCATCCTCTTGTTCTGCATGTGGAGCAGGTCTTCAACAAAGGATCTTCAGAAGATCTTGGAAAAAAAAATCTTGGATCCTGCTTGGAAAAAAATATTTCTAGAGTAGGTTCCTAGTTGGATATTAACTCAAGAAAAAGTAAGAAAACCACTGAAAAGCACCTTAGTTGGAAATGACAACTGCTGGGATAGCACAGGAAGAAACACCTTGCTTGAGAGGAGAGATTCTGGGTGTGTAGAAAGGTCTAAGCTGAGCCAGCTGGGCCTGTAGGCAGGTGAGTTTCTGCCATGCAGGGACAGAAACCATTTGACAGGAAATAAATGATTGAGGAGTTGGCAGGAGCAAGCCAGATGATGGTTTTACTACTGCTTAGGCTTGGGCTGCAATAATGTGTTTGAAATAGGTTTAAATTTTGACTTTCTCTTAAAGGAGCCTGATGTAACCTCTTCAGGGCCTTGTTTTGGTTGGGTTTAAGGTCACCCCGTTGTTCTTCATTTGTGTTTGAGCCCAGGTATTTTTTCTGTTGCTAAGTGGAGCTGCTTACAGATGGAAGTGCTGGAAAAAACCAAGAGACAATAACTGTTGTAAAATACCAAGGCACAGAGCAGATGTTTTACCTCCAGGGAAACAAAGGGTGTGTCCTGCACCTGCAGAGAGATCTGTTCCCCATCTATGGTGAACTTTCTTGAATACAAAGCACCTGGTGGAAAAGTAAAATCATTCCAGTCAGTGACTGTCACACAGAAGAAAGGTTTCAGCAAGACAAAAGGGAACTGTGGAAATGCAGATTTTTGAGGCTTGTGATAGCAAGGTGCCTATAGAGAAGGGAATGGCACCAGGGTGGCTGTGTGGCTGCTTGCTGAAGGAAAGGGGGTTTGTATTTTCCTGGGATGTTCTGGATGTAGACCTGTGATGGCACCTGAGAAAGGTGGCACTTTGTCTTGAATCAAATAGTCAAAGTGGGCACCTAAATCCCATTCAGGTTCTCACTCCCTGTCATTAACTTTTTAAAATGTGGACTGCATATATTTTTAATCTCAAAGCAAGGTATCTAGGTGTTGTCTGTGAAAGGAGTGAGCTGTTTCCTGTTGCATTTTTTGGAAAGTTTTTATAAAAAAGAGAAGTATTCTGGTTTTGGACACAGAGTAAGTGGCTACATACAAATCACCCTGATGCTCTTAGGGATTTGCATGACCTTAGCAGTCAGGCTTTGGTTGGAATCCCCAAAGACTGGACACTGAATCTGACTTCTGGTTAATCTGAATGACACATATTGAGGGCCAGCTAGGACTGATCCGCAGCTAGGAATGATCCAGCCCTAAAACCATCACTATTCTGGGATTGAACTGTATTTCATTACTGGAGTGCAGGTTAAGTGCCAATGAAAACTTCAGTTTTGATCTTGTGAACGATCCGTGGCTGTGATAAGGACAGCTTCAGAGACTGCTGCTATCATCAGTTTACTTTAGAACTGAATACAAGTCACATGGATATGTGAAGAAATGCCAAATCCACAGCTCTTGTGTACAGCCTTTCAGTTTTGTCCAGATACAATAGTCACTGCTGCATCTAAACCAATGTACTTCTACTGGTTCCAATGTACTTCCAGTGAAAGTTCCACCTGAATGTAGGGAAGAACTTGGCTGTGAGGGTGATGGAGCCCTGGAGCAGCTCCCCAAAGAGGTTGTGGAGTCTCCTGCTCTGGAGAGATTCCAAACCAACCTGGATGTGACCCTGCTGGAGCAGGGGGCTTGGCCAAGAGGATCTCCAGAGGTCCCTTCCAACCCCCACTATGCTGGGATTTTGTAATTCTGTGAAATCCCAACTACTGGAGAGGAAGGAATTCAGATTAACAGGCAGGTCAGTTAGTGACAATAACACCAACAACTGTGAAAGTCATCTTTGGCTCAAGGAAACAGGTGGTTTTATTCCAGTAGAAAAAGAGTCTGAGTTCACAGAAACTTTTACAATATAAGGAAATTTAGTATGGCAAAGTGTCCTGGTTTCAACTGGGGTAGAGTTAATTTGCTTCCTAGTAGTAGCTGGTACTGTGCTGTGCTTTGGACACACAGAGTGCACCTGAATCCAACATTATCACATCATGTTTTAGGAGTGAGTCTGTGAGGTGATCTAGCCCTTCTGGGATACTTATTTTTTTTATTATTATTTTGACAGCAGATCAGATTTTAAGCTGAGAAGATGGTTCTGCTTTATGGGAACATACTGCACCTCCAAACCAAGACCAGCCACCAGCCACTGGCTGTGCTCTGCCTTATACCCAGCTGCAGGAGAAGCAAGGTTGAAGGACCACAAATACACTGCCACCTGTTTCTTATTTCTGGTGTGTTTGTTTCTCCTGCAGCAGGGCTGTTGGGCTGGTGGCTTAATGAGAAAAGCATGTGGATCTCAGCAACGACCCTGGCAGCAATCCACTGCAAAGCTCCGACATCTAATTTGATGTACAGCCTCCCAGAGAAGAGATGAAAGAAAAGAAAGAGAAATCTTGCAGCCAGCCATCAAGGTTACTTAGGGTCAGTGAGAGGGAGCTGTAAGGAGGAGCTTTCAGATTGTGTTTCACCAGACAAGAGGAGATCAAAGGTGCCTTGTAGCATCATCTCCTTTCCTAACTCATCGTTCTCAACTCAGTGTGTCTCCAAAGTGAAGCAATTGCTGCTTTGAATCCTGTCCCCCTGCACCCCAAAACTCTGAGATGACCTGTTCTGTGGGATGTGCTAGCAGGTATGAGCAGGGAGTATGGAGCTACCTTCCACAACAGCAGCCAGTACACTTGGCACTTTCCTGGAAGAGAGCCTGTGAATGAAACAGTTCACACAAACACATCCTCTGAGGCGTCAGGATTAAACAAGACATGCAGCAGAGGCGGTTTGCACGGTCACTTGGCTTCTCTTCTGGAAAGGAGACTTTGATTTGGAAGTCTCCCTTGTCATAAAAGCCACTGAAAAAAAAGAGGGAGCAAGCAGAAAAAGTTCTGAGCTGCCTTTTACGCACTTTGGAATTCCTCTGGCTTCCCTGGGGTTGCAGAGGGAGCAGCGTTGGGTTTCTGTGGTTTGGGCAACGTGCAAGTTGTTCCTTGAGTCTGCATTTCAGTATAGGTATGTCCCCAAGCAAACCTTTTATTCTGATCCTTTTCCATCAAGTTGGAAAAAAAAAAACAAAAGCAAGCTAAAAGGATCATAAATAATGAGCCTTTGATTTATTGCTTTCATAGCTCGAGGCTATTAACTGAAAATATGCACCTTATGGACATCTAACACTGTTTGGCTTTCCTGTAATATGCACCAGTCACAAACCAGAGCAGATTTCTTTTCAAGCTGTCTGCAGTGCTGCAGTAGAAAGCAGACTCACCAGTATTGGCTTCATAGTCTCCAATAAATCTCTTCGTGAGAAAACGCACAACCAGGGCTGTTAAACAATGAAAAAAAGATGGGTCTGTAATGGGAACCAAGATCAATCTTTGCAGAGCACATGGAATGTCTTACTGGAAGAGTGAGTATAATATGAAACCCAGTTAATCTTTGAAATGCTCACATGTTATTCTGCAAATGCTTCTCTCCACACTCGGAGAAAAGAGCCGGGGCCAGGCTGTGAGACTCAGTGCAGCTTTTCACAACCTGCTTTGGAAATGACTGCTGAGATTTGGGGTGGCCACTGAGTGTAGAGTCCTGAGGTTTCTTTGTTGTGATTGCAGCTGTAACAGATCCTTGGTTTGAAATAATTCAGAAAAAGAGACAGTAACAAGCCAGTAAAGTGAAACTAATCCCAATACCACATTTAAGACCTCTGTGTCATCTAAGAAGTGAGGCTGATGGATGTAATGGTTCTTCCCAGCCTTAAAAATCCTCAGTCCTCCTCATGAAACCAATTAGTGATATCTAATCACATCCAGCAAACAAACTGCATGTGCTCTGCACACATGGGTCGTGCTGCAGTGCCCTGTGCCTTGTTATTCACTGTAACCTGAGGGGCTTTCTTACACTGTTGGATTCAACATGTTCCTTTTTCTTGATCACTTTATAATACTTAAAATCCCATCACAGCAACAATAACTTAATTCCTGTTGTGCTTTCATCTCAGCAGATTCCTAATCATTTGCAAAGCCACTTAGTTAATAGCTAAATAAAAGGGCTTATTCTGCAAACAACTCTCACAGATTTCATTTGATATAAACAAACATTTTACTGAGTCCTGTGGAACCTCAGATCTAGGAAAACAGATTTGGTCTTAATAATTTCTGAAGTCACCAACTATATATTCAAGAGCAGCAATGCTCTCTTTATACCCTCTTCCCTTCTCCTCTCCTCTGGAGAATAATACAGGAAGACACATCTTGCATGCTGTTATCTGTCTGCAGAGCATCAAACGTTTACAACAGGAGAATAAAACCCACTAGTCCCATTTTTGAGGTGTGGAAGTTTAGACAGGGTTAAATAATCTCCACAAGACCAGGTAGGAACATTTGTGAGTGGAGTGCCCTGTCCTCTTAACTGCCACCTCACGTTGGCTGCTCACACAGACCTACAGCAAACGTGCCTCAGAAATGATTCGGTCCATTTTCAAAATAAAAATCCAAACACATCCCTGAAAACGTCCAAGCTGCCACAGTTCAGAGTTTTCACAGCCCAGGGTTTGTAAATGAGCTCCTAAACCCAGCAGCAAGAAAAAGCTCAGAACTCCACCTGTGGACTTACCTGTCTTGCCAACGCTGCTGCCACCCAGGACCACGAGCTTGATGATTTTGTTGGGCACGCAGTCTAGGACAGGATACTCTGGTATGGGGAGCAAGAGAAAGTTGGTAGAATACTGTGACATAGTATCCTGAGAGATGAGACGCATGCCAGAAAATGAGAGCTGTTCAACTCCAGGAGGAGTTGGGGGAGAGAAGAAGGGAAACAGCTCCTCAGCGTCGCTTCTTGGCTGTGTATCCTTGGAAGGAGAAACCTTCTCATCTCATTTAAGCAGCTTTCCTGAGGAATCTCAGAGTGACTGGCCTCCTCTTCCCGATGCCTCTGCTCAGACAGCAACTTTGGAAAGCAAAAGGAAAGTTTTTGATCAGCCCCCGTGAAAACTGACTCCTCCATTCCCCAGCCAATCACAAGTGAAACCCTGACATTCCTCCAGCCGGGCACCAGCCTGTGCCTCCATCCAGCGCCCTTTATCTCTCCCCACCGCCTGCTTTCCGTCCTGCCCCTTGGCTCTTTGCTAAAAGGAGATTGGGCTGGGTTACAGTCATCACGGGAGCGGCCAGAGGCAGTCGCCCCCACGCTCTGCTCCAATTCCTCCTGCACTGATCCCCTTCTGCCTCTCTGGCTCCTTTGCATTTGCAATCAGCTCCAGCTCCACGCTCCCTTGTTCTCCCTGTCCTATTGTGTCCTGCAGTTGGGCCCCTTCAGAGCGCCGAAGCTGATGGAACACTCCCCTCTGGGAAAACAAACACAGGGTTTTATTTTCCTCCCCCCCTTACGTTTTTCAGGCAGCTGTGGGTTATTCCAAAATCCCAGCTCACATATGTGTCCTCCGGGATACATCTGAGCTGCTGGTTTGTACGTATGGTTAGTCTGGAATGTGGGTTCACGTTGGGTTGGGACGTTGCAGTTTCTCCAAACATGGAAAAGTGAATTCAGGGCTGGTGACAGGCTTGGGGAGGCTGAGAAAGGGCTCGATATCCTCCAGTGGGGCGAGCCAGGCAGAGGGAATGAAGGAAGAATGACTTCTATAGGAAAATACAGCATAGTTTGAAGACAGCTGGCGGCTGCAGGGTCTGTTGGGATGACAGCATGTAACAGTACACTCGCTACAATCAACTCTCAGTTATCAAGGATAATGGGGAGGGAGGAAAAAGGGAAGAGCAATGGGGAGGGAATGACCCAGATAAAGCAAAACTGCAAATAATATAAACCAGATGTAAATTAAACTACAGAAAATGGGAGTTGGAGCAGTCGTCTTTGAGCAGCCTCTCAGAAGAGGTCTGCAAGGAGCTGGATGTGAGCAGAAAGCAGCACCACGAGCTAATCTACCCACAGAACTTGGAGACCTGAGGATGTGCAGAGTTTTCCTGCCTTCTGTATGCTCTGAGCAGGCAGGGAGCAGCATGGCTCACTACAGAGAGGCTACAGCCACCAAAAAAAGACTTTGCTGCCACTGCTTTCAGTCCCAGCATACACATTGAGCTCCCCCCAGCAGGTTTCAGAGGTTGGGGCTATGAGCTATGTGTGCTAGCACAAGAGGATAGGAAATCAGGTCAGGTCTCTAGATGAATAGCCCTTCCCAAAGTACTGGGGACCAGGTTGTCAGATGAATTCCATTTCCACACCAGCCTCACAGAGGACGTGCTGAGTGGGAACTGGCTTTAGAAAGATCCAGCTTGGGTGCAGAGCAGGCCAGTGAAGTAAGCGTGAGATTCAGCAGATTTATGGATGTGTCACTTCTCCAAGGCTCTGTTTCCCCTCTGAAAACGACTTCTGAAGCAATATTTGTGTGGAGTTGCTGTGTAAGCACCAAGGGTCATTACTTTGACCGTCATGACAGTCAGCTGATGAAGAGGTGGAACAAAATGTCCAGAGGGCTACCCAGCTCATGGTACTGGGAGGGAGCCACCAGATCAAGTGTCTTTCAGGACCCAGCTCCTATGTGAATGGTTTTCAAATCTTCCAGTGGAAATTTGCTTCCAGATTTTTGAAACACCCAAACACTGAAAAATCTTTTTCCAGGAAATTTCATTACCAGGGTGCTTTAATCTCAGACAGGTTTTGTAGGAACAGGCAAAATGAGAGGAGGAACAGGAGAATGCTCAAAAACTTGTGGCCAATTAATAGGGCACTTTGAAATGTGTTATTGAGCTGGACACATCATAAATTTTGGGATTAGCTAGCAGCATATGTAACTGTCTGCCTCTCTAAGTGTAGGAAATTGGAACCTTTCTTACCATTTGCTATTAAAAGCATATGTTACTGAGTAATATAAAAGTATTCATCACAATAGTCCTCCTATAACAACAAACAATAATACATCTATCAGCTTCTAGATGGCCAGAAGAGTTTCAGCCCAGGAAAAAACAAAAGCCAGCTAAGTGAAACAAGATCATGGAGAATATTCTACACGAGCACAGACAGCCCTAGAAGAATACAGGTCTGCTGGCTTGCTCCAAAAGAGAGGCAACACAATCAACAGAAACAAAAGTTAATGTCCTTTTGGGCAACTAAATATCAGTGCTGGTGCTGAGGAACTCCAGAAGGGTCTCACAGAAGCGAGTGAGTGCAGCAGGTGAGCTTCAGTCCAGATAAATGTAAGCTAATACCCCCAGAGAAAAAGAAGATAAACCTTGCTAAACTGATGCTGAGCTCAGATGTGGCACTCATAAATTAGGAAAGACACCTTGGAGTCCTCACTGGCAGCTCACAGCCATCAGCTCAGTGTGCAACAGCAGCAAAAAAAAACACCCAAAAAAATGCTGGGTGCCCTCAGGAGGGGAGCGGAGAAGACGTAGGGCAGCATTTTGCTGCTTCCATCAACCCTTGGAGCATCCCCATCACCAGCACACCAGGGTTGTAGTTTTCTGCACCTCAAAATCGTGGTGGGGGCTGCGAGGGCCCAGAGCAGGGCACCAAACCCCATCCTGGGTGTGGAGCAGCTGCTGGAGAAGCTGTTTGCCATGTGCTTGTACGGAGGCTGGTGCTGACACGAGAGGAGGTGCGTGGGGGCAGGAATGAAAGACCAGCGCTGGAGGAAATGTTGAACTGCTGCTTTTGGCAGCTCTGATGGCTTCTGGTTGCTTCAAACAAATGTGAAAGCAGTTTTCAGGCTGCATCTTGGAAGCAGACCAACCGATTGCTAGTTCCTTGGCTAATATGGTTCAATCTAAATTTCTTAAGCACTAGCCCAGGCTTCTTCTGCTTCTAAACAAAGCTTGTTTCCACTGGATCCAGAAATCTCTGTCCAGAGAGAAAGGCTTTTAGAAATACCAAACCCCCAGCATGTTCTCCAAAGGTTTTAAATCTATTCTCAAGCTCCCCCCCCTGCCCAAATCATAACTTTCAGGCTCTGATTCTGAAAGAATTGAACTGAGATCTCAAATCAAAGCCAGAGGTTTTCAAATCTGATCCTTATCTGATTTTCTAGATTGTCAGAATAGTCTTTTCACTGAGTGAACCCATGTGGAAGGATTCACACTCTTTGAGCTTGTATAACCCTTGGCACGTAGAATAAGAATTGTTTTTAAAAGAGATTTTCATTGTTTGTGCACAATAGGCTTATATTTAGCTAAGAAAACCATCTTGTAAATTCAAATTCGCTTGGAAAAACAATAGCTTAAATTAGAGGGAGGCTGTTTGCAAAACTCAGAGCAACTTTGAAAACATTTGGATGATTCTGGAGATTTCACTAACCGCCCCTTGGGTTGCTCCACACCAAGATATGTTCCTTTGCATGTTGTGCAGCCCTCATGTTATTTCCACAGCAGATTTTTTTTAAACAGATTTATTTATTGGTCTGTGTTGCTTTTGGCCATGGTTTTGATGAGATTTTCTATTTTTATTGTTGTTGGCACTCCGACGCATCTTCAGAGATGAAGCATTCTAAAAATAAAAAATATTTGCCATTACCATAGTGCTTTTCTTAGGAGGATGTCAAATGGCTTTTAAAACTGGATCTGATTATTCCTCATGCATTTTACAAAAGGGGTAAGGGATGAGCAGAGCCAGAGCGATCTCACCGAGATCCCAACAAACAGAGGTTGTTGTCACTCCTTCCCCTTCTCCCTCGACCCTTCAGAAATGAGCTTTTCTTCTAAAAGTCTCCTCCTAATGGTGACCTTTCCCTCCAGTGGATGCCAGGCGTTTCTGTGGAGCCTGTTGACGTGGTGGTGACACGGCTGGAGACGTTCAGCTCATTTCCCAGCAGAAATCCTGAGTGTGGTGCTGGGGAAACGCCGGTTGCTCTGGCAGATGCTGTGATAAAACACATAGCTGGTGGCTCGTGTACACATCCCCTGCTCCTGAAAGTATCCCAGACATCCCCAGATGGATCCTTGCAGCTTTGTCTGACCCTCTTTGTTCTCTGGTGCAAACTTGGGGCCCAAAGGCCGGTTCTCACACTGCATGGAACAAAAGTAGAGCTTCAACCACCTTTTCCTCCCAGTAACCACACACCCTCAGAGATGGGAAAGGCAAATAAAAAGCATCTTTGCAGGAGAGAAGAAAAGAACGGAGCAGGATGGGATGTGCAGGAGGAACCAGCCTCTCTCAGTGTGCTCAGGATCTCACCTCACGTGGACCCTGCTCCTGGGTAAAGTGTGTTAAAAACTCTGCCCTGTCCTTCAG